GGTCCAGAAAATACAACACATGACTTAAATGCTTGTGAAATTTTAGCATATTGGTTTGTAAATTATTGGACGTGTAACATAGTTACAGAGTATTTTAAACCACTCCCTGAGGTGCTGGTTTGTTAAGTCTCCATGCTTCTGCTCTCATCTCTTCACTTCCTCTTCCTCAGTGGATAAATCACCACATTAATCTTCACTTTCCTGATTTAAATTTGAAGTGCAGGCTTGGCTATCACTACTTTTAACTTGGGTGGGCATCATGTTCTGCTCTTGTACCTGGGCTAGGAACTCCAGATGGATCATCGTTCTTCTGCATTATTTGTCTGCATTTATGGACATTTTACATGTTCAGTAAATGATATTTGGGATGCTGCAAGTCAGACATCGTTTAACAGAAAAAGGAAACATCTCAGAGTGAAAACATGGTGAAGAGCACAGCATACAGGCCATTGATTGCCTTTCTTTGATCTTGTTACCATCTGGTTACACAGACTGGAAAATGACTCCCTAAATCTCATTGCTGGAATGCATGAATAACAAAATGAGCTTTTTGATGGACACCTTAAGAAAGTGGCACCAGTCCGCCTCTGAGCATAGAACTGAGAGATGAACTATTGGTTGCATTTCTGCAGCTAAAACATTGAATCAGACATGCGACTCTTGAATCTGTTAGCAGAACAAAAACAGGTACAAAAACTCCTTCAACAACCTTCTCTACATCCAACAGATGTTGCAGCTGCCTTGCATCACTATCACACAATGCACTGGGTTATAACTATGATCACACCCAAGAGACTCCACTGAGTGCCTCCAGGATCTCATGTTAGGTTTCAGCCATTCCTTGACATCTTTCATCAATACCACATGTTCTGACAATGATTATGATGTCCTCAGTGGCCTGGCTTCACACCTTGCAGGTCACACGGTGGCGAAATCAGCTCTGCTGCTTATTACTCAGGGGACCTCATCGGCTCCTCAGAAGACTGACAGCTTTGACAGGTGGAGCTGGAGTCGGCTTTGACAAACTACTGATTAGGCTGTCACTCCGAATAGAGGAAAGCCAAGAACTATGTAAAACTCATTCACTTACTCACTCACTCACTCGCTCGCTTGCTGCGAGCCAGACAGGTAGCTGAACGAATGCATCACCTCATCGAGCTGCATAGGTTGACATGGCTAATTATGCTTGAGTAATAAGCAGCAGTCACATTGATGTATCTCAGCAAGAGTTTCAAAGCACAGGCTCGGTTGCCTTAATGGAATCAATTTGTCCTTCAAACCCCTTGGAAATTGGTAAATAAAAATTGACTTGTGTTTGGATGTTGTGAGAGTGACGCCTGAACACTGTGTGCTAGTGTCGCCTGAAGCAAAAAAATTAGCGCCAAATTGTGTCACATGGCAGATTACATCCACATGTACATGATTATCAGCGGAGTGAAATAGTTCGCATTGAGAAGGGGAGGGGTGGCAGTGCAAAAAAAAAAAAAAAAAGTTTTTTTTTAAAGTTTTTTTTCTGTACACGTCTATGTGTTATTCCCAATTATTAGAAAACCAAAATCTGGAAAGAATCAAGAAGAATTATCTGCTTAACTTCTAACAACAGTGGGAATCAGATACTAACATGTACTACATACAAATACGCTCTTTGTCTTAGTGTCATGAAATAAGATTTAGCTCAGTTATGATTGCCAACATTTCCATTTGCTCCATGCCAAAAATAATGACAGAGACTTTTTTTGAATTACATCCTGCTAATTTAAAAGTGTACCTATTCTAAAGTAACATTGTGTTTTGAACAGTTTTAGGAAAGAGCATAAAGGAATATTGTTGATTAATTACAAAGGTTGATTAATTCTCCAATGACTTTGATTGACTGCAACTCAATTTCACCTATTTGGGCAGCATACTATCTTCTCATTTGTGTATTCTAAGAATGATGCTGTCTGAAACAGTCAGGATCCAAATTTCTGCCACTTATTGACCATCGTCACATGACATAGTAGTGAGGGGAGGAGGTACAACAGTCTGGGGAGAAGGGAAGGTGAGGAGATAAAGTGTACCACTGAATAATTCAGAACAAAAACACAGAGGAAAATCAATCATGTGGCCAAATCTGGTATTAACAGCCAATTCTACTAATATTAGGAAGGATGTGTTTGAGAGAGGGTTTATGGGACGCGTCGAAGGCGTTTTGTGGATTTACTGACTCTGAACTCACTATGCTCTGATTTTATGAGTTTTAAAATAACCATCTGCTTAGAACTGTACTGCTGTCCATGTTCAACACTTTAGAGCTGCTAAGTAATTAGCACTACATTGGATTTTATAATTGCCAATCATGTACCTTTATTGGTCAATTACCGACCCTAATCAAGTGACTCAGCCAAATGTAACAGTCTTATTATTACTCAATTAAAACAAATGCTCTCTGAGGTAGGGGCTTTGAGGCAGAGAGGAACCGAGGGTGTGTGTGAGGTGTTCCCACTATATCACCAGGTAATTAATATTTTCATTAACTCTCTCTCTCTCTGTTGAGTGCCGACCTGCTTCTGATCATTTCATTTCCCCTCCATGGGTTCGATACCGTAGTGGCTCCATAATTAGTTTGATTTACATCTGCCTCCTGTAATGAAGGAGCGAGGTCGCTCCCTCTTCTTCCCTAAGCCGAGTGCCACTGCTTTACTCGCACTCCTGCTACAGCCAATAAATTCGCTGGGTTGGACATGGAAGGAATAGACTTCAGTGTACAGAGACGGCTCATGAACAAGAAACAGAGACTTGGTTTATGAAAAATTCACGGCCAGATCTTTGAGGGATTGTGGAAGGGCTAGTGTAGGGAAACGTTGCTTATTAATGATTGAAGTCGACATGGATGGTTCTTTTTCTGGCTGAAAACCGAAGAGTCCTACAAGGTGCTGCGTAGGAACCACTGGGATTAGGAGCAGTGTTGTCACAGATGAAACTACTCACTATCAAAGATCTTTTGGCTGATCTGATTTGCGTCAAACATTTATGATCAGTGTGTCAAAATATATTTGCTATAGAATAACTTAAAAAAAAAAGTACAGATAGTTCAAGGTAAAGCTCCACTTTTGGTAAGATATTGATCTCGGGTAAATGAGAGCAGATGCGATGGATTTTATTTAAACCAGCACATGCGATGCGGTCCACTGTATGAGCTCCATGACTTAAGCAGCTTTACACTCAGCAGGATAACACAGGAGAGCAGATGAATGATTTCAGCATTAATAATGCTCCATTGATTATTGTTCTGCTGTTTAAAGGTGAATGGCAAAGCTTTCTGAGCAGCAGGGGATGGAGAAGTCTGTGCGTCTCTGAGAAGGCCTGATTTACATTTCGGAAAGTGCACCTGATTCTCAGGGGGTTTGGCTGTCGTTTTCACTCGATACTGACGGTGAACTTTCTTTGTTGTGGAAGACTCACCAGTCCTTTTGCACACAAGCTACAATACAATTGCTGTAAATTCACATATGCTGCTGAAAACCCGTGTCCAAATCCATAGCTGTTCATTCTCCGACTATAAATACATAATAAACAAATTCAATATTCTGATTTCAATAGTTCAAGAAGGCTTTAGGTTTGTTGTTGAATAGTCTGCCCTGCAATAATGGCTTATTTTTTACTTGGTATGTTATTGATAGTCACCATTGGACTGCCTGAGTGCATTTCAGAGGGCAGGAACTTTTTCCAAAGACAGAGACAAAAGCTTGGTCAACAACTGCTCTCCAGCCAGCTACACGTTAAGTTCGTCTCAGTGTCACAATATCTAAAAAAACCCCAAACAATTATCAGCATAATTTACAAGCAGCACCGCATAGAAATAAAAATAAAAAGTGAAGTTTGATCCTGCAGTGTCGGTTCCAAGAAGTCAACCTCAGTGTAAATATGTAAAGCAGCTTCAGCTATAAACGTAAAAAAACAAACAAACAAAGGTTCTAATCTTATTCGCTTGAAGGTCCAAAATAATTGTAGCGTAAGCACTGCATTTAATATAAGTAAACTCAAACTCATTCATAAATGAGTGCAGTAAATCCTTCATGTTGTGGCACACATCCAACTACTCCTTCACTTTATGTTGCTTTGATGCTCTTAGGGATCAAAATGCGTCAGCACACCTGCGATAAATGGTGCTAACAGGAAACACTGTGTGTCCTAGCTGCGGGTCTCATATGGAGCCAGAGGCAAGCGGGTGGAAACATAAAGATAATCTTCAGTGCCACATAAAAAAAGGAAGCCAAATTAGCAAGCTAGCCAGACAGTCCATCGCAACATCTCTCAGGCACATTTAGCCAGCAATGAATGCAGCCCTGCCTAGCATTTCCCCTTACTCAATTATTGATGGTAATTATCCCAGTGTGCTTAGTCTGCACCATAACAATATATTTTTAAACAAGAAACAAGTCACTGCACATTCTCTCAAGTGATCATTCCTGTGTTCTCTTTATTCTCCTCTCGATAAAATAATCGGTAGAGGGTTGAGTTTTCACGACGTGGAAGCAAAGCGTTGGCCCGCCGTTTGTTAAGAGTCACCGTGATAAAGGTGCTCACTAAATAGTAACATATGTTTATTTGTGAAATTATTTAAAGGTACTCAGGTGAAAAAGACAAAGAATAATGTGTGTTTGCTGCATGAAATCAGTAGTCAATACCTCATTTGTAATGAAATATTGCAAAATGACTGAATCAGTCAAACATTTTGAATAAGAAAATCATCTGAAAAACAGCAATGCTATATTTTTTGTGGCAGCTTTCCAAAATTATTTCGTGACAAAAAAAAACAACAACCATAAAACATCACATACAGCAGCTTCACCATTCCCATGCTGAATATTTACACCATCACAGTCTAAAAAAAATGTTCCCCCAACAAAAGGCATGCAAACCTTCACTTTGCTAAACATACAAGCACAACAATATAACAAAATCTAAACATCTCTCTCTCTCTCTCTCTCTCTCTCTTTTTTTTTTTCCTGGCTAAGATCTCGGCCTTACTGTCCTCTATTTCCCCTTCCATTTCAGTGGAAGGCCCAAGCTTGCCGTCTTCCAGCGCCGCAGGGCATGGAGCTAGCCAGCGGTGAGTTTCCATCAATTAGTGCACCCCCGCGGCCTCATGGCAGAGCCCACCTTTGACTGCGGTGAGATATTGATTAGTTCAGCTGCACTGTCAGGTCTGGAGTGTGCAGGCCCTGGTGATCCAAGGCCTTCGCCAGAGACAAGATCATGTCAGGTTTCTGACACATGTAGGCTCTCACATACACACCCGTGTGCACACGCATGGAGGTTAGCATGTGTACACATGCAGGTGCGCGCAGACGTGCGCGTCAACACATGGACACATACAAATGCAATGAAACATGCTCTCTCAGATGACTGCAAGGTGTGAGAGAGGGAAGATAAGAGGAGAAGTCCATAAGAGTTGCTTGTCAGGAGTGATGGGTGAGAACTGACAAGTGCTTGTTTTTTTTTTTTTTTTTTTTTTTCCCTCCCTCTGCCCGGTAGAGTTGGTGTGAAAACAACAAGCTGCAGAGCCTCCGCACTCGCTCAACTAAGGTGCAATGCGATAATATATATCCACAGGACAACATAAACGGCCGCTGAACATGAAGTTCAAAACAAGCAACAACAAAAAAAAAGAAGAAATATTTTATTCAGGTTAGAAGTGGTAGATAGGAAGCAAAAACATCTCCTGTCAATGCATGACAGCTATTAGCCAGGCACGGACATTAGTCTGTAATGTTCAGAACAGTGCATCTGCATGAATGAATAGCACTTTAACTTTTCTAGTGAATGTGGCAGCAGAGTAAAAATGAAAAGCTGCTTGCCCAACCAAGAGATGAAGTTGTTTAAAGAGACCCCTGACAGTTGAAAGTACGGAAAAAAAAAAAAAAAAATCTGGATCAATGCTTCCCCATGTGCATTTCAAATATTGGCAAGACCTGTATATTCATAGGATGGTATTCATTGGGCTTTTGCAGTGATGCAACCAACTGCAACTCCATAGGTATTTGCTCATCAAGAAAAAAATATTATCATCCACTCTTTGATGAGCACACCTCAGAAAATATTTCTTAAAACCATTTCAAGGCCAAGCAGAGCTACGTTTTTTTGTTGTGAACCTCAAAGACAAATTTGACTGACCACAGAAGCCTCAGTCGACAACTAGACGGGTCTGGTTTCTGCTTTTTGTGCCACGGTGACGCCAAAAACAATCACAACAGTCTCAAAGTGAGCAGGAGAACACAAACATCGAAGGGTCCAATAAAAATGAGAAAATCCAACATTATTCAAGCAACGTTACTTTTAGGAAACAGCATCGATTTTTTCTTTCAGCCCATTATTACCTAATCGGAAAACAGTTACACATGCAAATTGTTCGTTAAAAGAAAATAACTTGAGATAGGTTAAATAATAGCCTAGAGAATATCACTTAAATGATGACAACAGTGATAAACGCCTTAGTTTTCTGAAGCTTTTTGGTTCAGTGTCAGGGATTAAAAACAAACAACAGGTGTTCATAATATTTATATTGATTTTTATACAGCGATTTGCCCAATCTTGGAGCTGTAGATACTATTTTGAGAAAAAAAAGTTTAATGATTCATAAGTTGACTTGTTAAAATATTAATCTTTAAATGGAAAATCTAATTATGGTATCTTTGGAGAAACTGGGTTTCTATAATTAACTTTTCTTTCTGTTCACAGAGACACAACAAAAATGAGTGAACATCAGGAACCGGATGTGAATCCGTGAGATTGGACTTCATATAGTGACTCAGAGCAAAAAGCCGTTGTCTGCGTTGTTGCTCTGAAAAACAGGATGGATGTTTGGACTGTTGTGGGCAGCTGTACCTTGTGAGGAATTTTCATCCTTTTTTCCTCTTTCATATTGTTTCCAACATATTTGCAAAAAAAAAAAAAAAAAATCCTGTTTTGTTATTTGTGTGTATATATATATATATATATATATATATATATATATATATATATATATATATATATATATATATATATAAAGATGTAATACTGTTTTTTTTATTTCGATAAAAGCAAACTTATTAGGATGCAGGATACATGTGGGCTGTTTGCTACACAAGGGCAGAAACATCACGAAACAGTGCATGTGAAAGCAACGCAGAAAGGGGAAAAACACACAAAAACACTGTCAAATGCCTGAGGTATGCTCCACTTGAACGCTAGCTGCAATTAGTCCACAACCAAATGATGTGCTGCATCTGCACTTAATGCATTTCTGTATCTAATCAGTGTGAAGGCTACGGGGGACGTGCAGCCTTCATATCCTGGTTCCCTGCTGCGTGCCCTGCACCACACCACTCTGTGCGGAGCGCAGGGATGTGTGCACCACTTCCTGTCTCCTCCCTACTTTATCCAAGCAGAACAAAGTTGCTGTTAGAGAACTGATCTCCCCCCCCCCGCAGTTTCTTGCTCTCTGTTGGTTAAATAAGCCATTTCACCTTCTTTTCATCCTCCTCGCTCTGCAGCTTACACGAGCCGTCAGCCCATTATGCCGAGATGTTGGGTGGTGCAGCTTCGCCTTACATGTATCAGGAGCTCATCTGAGGAGGGTTCTGGAGCTCTGTGTCATGCTGGATCTGCTCAGCAGATGTTGAAACAAATTAGGCCTTCGCCATGCTGACTTTTGCTGGAATAAATTGAATGTGATTTGCTTAGGTTTAAGTAAAACTGAGCAGTCTGTCAAAGAATATTTTTATCTTTCGTAGAAGTGATCAGAACAAGCTGTTCTTCACAACCAATAGAAAAAGAGCAACAGCTATGATTGATATAAAATCCCTTCATCCAATAAGGACAATTCCTTAAAACTGTGTGTATGGTTATTACATTTTTAAAGAAAAATTAAAACTAAACACGTTTTTTTTTTTTCCCTTCCATTTGTGTTTGGTGCAGATTTTTTAAAATAATCTCCCCGCCTGTCGTTTTCTGATAGAGGTCTAGGAAATCATGCATGTACATAAACATGGGGGGGATCATCTGGGCTGAACCGCCTGTGATTTGCAGCAACAGAATGGTGTCATTTTCCTGCCTAAAAAGCAGAGAGTCCTGCCCAAATTGATTGTGTCGCCTCATTGCTTCTGAGGCCGACACGGGGAGAGGAGTGGCCATAATTGAGAGGGAGAGTTAGCAAAACCTTAAATATATAGCAGGTGATATATCATTACCCATAGACTTGACCCCGCCTGACCCGCTCCAGCTCCCATGTGGTCTCCGGCTCGGGGCTGGCGAGCGGCAGACGGAGGGGTCTGCTGCCGCTCAAACGGCTAAATCAACAGCGTCTCGCCACGGCTCATGCCAGAGTGTTTTGCTTGAACGGTTTCATGAAAAACTAATCATCTGTTCATCATGGAGATCAAACATACGTGGGGGTGTCGGGGGGGGCATTGATTAGGAAAAGCAATCTGATAAAGCTTGAAGAACCAGTAGTCCAGATATAATAATTTCAAGATTAAAAATGACTCCTCCCTGCTTCTTCTCCCTCCTCCTCATCATCATCACTCTCAGCGCTCCTGTTAGCTGTATCTAGAAAAAAAAAAGTTTTCTTGTTTGTGCTTGTTTAAAATGAAATTATTAAAGATAAAGCCATTCTTTTGAGGATTAATTCCTCTCAATTTTAATTTATTCTTTTACATCTGAGGTTGAAAATAAAAAATAAAAAAGAAATTCAGAAAGAACAAAGCAAGCGCCGTTCTTCCAGGATGAGTACTAAATTTTTTATGTCTAAATAATGCCTTTAATCTGGTGTGTGATGCTATTTCCTTCTTTCAAATGAAGACCTCATCCAGTAATTACATACCTTATTGGCATGTTGACTACAAGTGCAGAAGTATCTTGTTCTGCTTTTGAAACAAACTCATAAGAAAGACGGTGAAACAGAGGTCAAGGTAATCTTACTGCACGTCTGAACCCCTCCCCAAATCTTCCCCCACAAAACAAGCAACAATAATAATAAAAAAAAAAAAAACAACAAGAAAAAAACAATGAGAAAGTTTTTAAATGAGTGGACAAAAGTGGAGTTGCTCCAACGAAACCATTTAAAGTTGGTCTGTGCAATGCTTCCCAGGAGATCAAAGGAGAAAAAGATGATTTATTATGAACAGGGAATCTCTCAGGCTTAAAACAATTATGTGCAGATACCCCTGAGTTACTTAAGCAAATAAAGTGAAAATAAATAGTAGCTATGTAATGTTTGATACACCCGCTGAATGTAATAACATTTTGTCATTTCCACAAAGTGGACTGGAATGAAATTAGAGGTCCCTGTAGCCTGTAATGAAATGCGGTGCCTCCCGACTAATGCAGTTTGTCATCATGTGGACATATTAATGCTCTCCTCTAACTTCCCTTTGACTGATGCTGGCTTCACATGCCAGCACGGACGTCCAGGACTCCGGCTGAAAAATTCCACACAATCCACTTTAACAATTTATACGATAAAATATGAAATGAACAGCTAAAATAAAAATGAGCAAAACTGAAGGCTGAACTGGAGATCCTCTTATGAGACATGGAATTTAATTTTTAAATGCAATACGGCCAGCCTGTTGACCTCATTTACAAATGAGCGATTCTCCCTTGTTATCAGGTTGTCACAGCACGATTTAACACTTAGAACTACAGCAAATCAGAATAAGATCCATGATCCACAGTGTTGAACCTCACCAGGTGTCATGAAAGTTTCTCCAAGGGCGCGTCACCAATATTCTGGTTTCTACTGGAAAATCTTTAAGTTCAAGTGTAGTGGGCTTATGCAATGATTAAAGGAAAATAGCAAGTTTACATTTAAATGATAAGTGAAAGTGTTGACTTCACTTATAATTAAAGTTCAGACTTAAATCTGACTCCGAGGTTGCAGAATGATCTGATACACATGCTGATGTTCCAAAACTCTCCAGTGTGGCTGAATTAAAAACAAATAAAATTCCTCCACAGTGATGCAAAAGACTCATCGCCAGTTATAGGAAACACTTGCAAGTTGTTGCTGCCAACACAAGCACACAAGCAGTTATTAGGTTTAGGGAGGAATGACTTTTACACATTTAACCAGAGTGGTTTGGGCAGCTTTTCGCCTTGATAAATGAAATCCTCATTGGGAGACTACTCTTTGTATTTTGTTAGGTTTTATTTGTGTCTGGTTTAAATGTTTGTTTGATCATCTGAAACATGATAACTCAGGTTTAATAAAGATAAAAACAGAATAAATCTGTAATTGAGCATAAACCTCGTCACGTCACTGTGAGGAACCAAAGTGTAAATCCAAAACGAACTGTGAATAACTTGGAAAAACTAAATCTGCAACTGAATAATCTAAACAACAAAAACAAAGGGAATGACAAATGAAAACCTTGGAGTTTTTACAGTCATAGTCAATAAATTAGAATATCTGATGAAGCATATTTGTCAGATTAAAACTAACTTTTGAAAATAGTAAGTATGTATTAAACATACTTTTTATTAAGCCCACATTTCTGTATTAAAGTCATTTTATTGGTCTCATGTAATGTTCTGATCTTGAATGTGTTTTAATTTTTTCCGTAAGCAAGAAATCATTACAATTAGAAATAAAAGCTGTGTGAAATTAATCTATATAAATCATTTTGTTTGACAAATTGAGTTTTATCAGGACAAATCTGAGAAATCAACAACAGGCATGTGAGAACTAAGACATACAATAATTAATAAAAAAATCTCATCAGAAAATTAGTTTTTTAAAAATCTCCACTTTGAAAAGTGTCACAAACTATCTCAATTTTTCTCACCAAAACACTCTTTATGTATATTAAAGCAAACTATTCTGCAGAAAATCTATTTTGCATGTTGTCCTTGTAGGACGCAGCCAAGGCCTGTGCTGAAAAAAGGAAAAATTAGAAGAGGAAAAAACAGCAACAGATGCTAAAACTAGTGTAAAATAATAATAAATAAATAAAAACACCAACAAAACTAATAAAAGAGAAACTTTAGACCTTTACTTTAGAAAGTAAACATTTGAAAGAGGCCTTAAAGTGAAAAAAGTGTCCTAAAATTTTACAAATATGCAGCACTTATTTAAAACCTCTTTAAGCTGATGCCTGAAGAAGCAACGATACAGGTTTGGATGATAGCTTTACACATTAAATATTCAAAGGGTAATTGTACACACTGTTATTGGACTTTTTTATTGGGATGTATGTTATATTCTGCACAATATTGAAACCAGGAAGACCATTATTAGTCAAGGCAACAACCATCAGTTTTCCACATTAAAAATAAAGATGAAGTTTTGATTAAAATCCCCTCAAAATAAATAAATATTAAAATTATAATTAATCAATTGTTTGCTATTTTAGTGACAGAATATTTAAGATATTAACATTTGTGCATGGCACTAAAAAATGCGACTGTTTAGGTTGCATCCTAAAATATAATAATGATAATTTACAGGTTTTTTTTCTGCCACTCAGCATTACAAGCCTTATTTTCTGAGGACGCAGCTGATAGAAACTTGCTCTCCACCAGAGATGGTGATCAAATGGACCACTGGGTGTCCCTCTGGGGCCAAAAAAGAAGAAATACGGTCGTGTCACAGCAGAGTACACAAATACAAATCCCCAAAGCTGCAGTATCTGTCGCACTTCTATTGCATTAGCGCTCATTACAAACGCAATACCTCAGGGCGAAAACTTGCAGATACACATTTTCAACTTTGCCTGTGCTTGTGTTCTACATTATAGCTAACCTTGAGTGCTCCTCTGGTGGCAATAAGTCCATTTATTGTTACCGTTAGGCAAAAAGAATACCACAGATAAGGCTTAGTGTGTCTAATTTTACTGTCACCCCTAAAA